ATCCCCTGCTACTAGACACGGAAGCCTGTTAAGCGAAAGCTTCTTCTATTCCGTCCACAACCATTTGAACCATTTGAACCATTAAAAATGGGGTCCCGTTTTCCTAATCGAGTAGTCAGTGACCGAAATATTTGCTGGCCCGTAGTTCTCGACTCCATTTAGAGCGTACGAATGTTTGTTACCGCCTATTCTCGTATATAATCGTCGACTTAAATCGCGTTATCCAATAACGGAATTAAATAAGTCGAATAACGAGAATTGACTTGAGAATACATATATTTCGTACATGAAGTGAATGAAACATAGCAAAGCAAAATGACACGTATGGAAGATGGCTGGGAAGCCAACTCCATTTTAATCAAGCGTTACTCAGTATTTATAGTCAGACAAAAATAAACTGCAAACATGTGATGAGTCATGGGATATGAAGTGTACACACATATACGCTCATATATAAAAACAGTCAAGACTAATAAGCGAATAATTGACAAGGTCAAAATATGACTCAAGTAGAATGAATAAAATGGAATGTCCGAAAACTAGAATAAGATATATGGGCTTAAAATAATGACTGACACTACATAGCCCCCACGTAGAAAATAGCACATTTAAAAAATGTCTGTTTTCGAAAATAACACTGAAGTGATATGAAGCTAACGTTAACAATAAGTAGCGAAAAAAATTGTACAACACTCGATAAAGTACAGCGTCACATGAGGGGTGAGTGTATTATATGAAAATGTCATACTTATGCAAAAGAATACATGAATATCGAAAAGGCGCGGACAAAAATGGAAACGTTAGCATGCGAATATGAGCAAATTAATGAGCGTACAACAAATTAACATGTACTAATTCTATGACTGTCTGAACGATAAAATAACAAGTTTGTATGAGTGATTCAAAATATCGTGAAAATAGTAATAAATTGTTTGTGGGTAGGACAGCGAAATAAATCGTCAAAATGAGTAAAGTAGAATATGACAGAAATTGGTCTGTGATGCTGACGAAATAGTGAAATACGTTAAATATATGTTCTGTTGAGCCGCAGCAGAATAAATAGCATCGACTAACGATGAGTGAATTCGAATTTAAATGCGTAGTTCCCGTTCGTAGGCAAGTCGTGAAATGATATCTGCATCGACGGGTGATATTCGTTGCTGTACTGCAATTGATAATAATCATAAAATTTGAAGTCAGTGAATGTTGTCGTCTGCGTTATGACAGATGCATTGAGTTATCGTTAAATATGTATTAGTAGAAAAATGACCAGAGGAACAGAATAGTGACTGAGTAGACGAGGTACGTAGAGTCGTATTCCTTTTTGGTCGTGAAGCCTAGAGTGGTTTGTGTGGCTTGAGGGAGATGCGCTCGATCTCGTTTGTTACAAAACCGTACCAAGGCATGACAAAAATACCAATACATATGATTAGCGATGGCGACGTATGAGACTGACTTGGATGTGACGAACAAGAGTGTATCTTTGAGAGACTAGCTCTAAACTCTATGTTCTGATATGCAGTGCGATGGGTATAGAATAGTAGTTGCAGTACTCGAATAGCGTTTTTGAATGATAAGTGATGCAGCATGTAGTTATGCACGTGGAAGAATAGATAAAATGAACGTAATGGTTACTAATCAGCTAGTTAGAAGCATCCACAGACATAATAAGAGACGATTTCGAAATGAAAAATGTATGTTATGATAACATAAATTGCTGACCTCGACTAAGTGAATGAATGCAATATTAGGTCAAAATGACATGAAAAATTGGAACGAACTCACTTAAAGCAGGAAAATTTCACGTTTTTGAATAGTAAAAATATCCCAATGAGTTCTCACAAAGTGGAGTGGAATTTTCATAAAATGATAATTTGTTCGGTGAGTGATATGATTGCGAAAATGTCATATTTAGTGACAGCACGAACAAGATTAATAATTCCACATTCGGTCATGATATTGGCAATAATGTAATAATAAGCATATATTAATTTGAATCGTAATTGAACAAACCGACGAATAGATCAATGAGAATGGTTGACATGAGTACAAAGTATCGATAAGATAATACGACTTGAGCATGTCCATGTCATGTTGCACAGGCTTTGCTGATTGAGTTGGATTGGAGATTGCGCTGGCTTCGCTGAATTTGTTCGTCGAACGTATAGAGTGCAGAGGTTCCTTCATCGACGTAGCTTGCTGCGTTGCGTTCGTCGTCGGCGGGCTCACCATTTTGGTGGCCCTTTGTTCTGACTCCATTTAGAATGTACGAGTGTTTGTTACCGCCTATTCTCGTATATAATCGTCGACTTAAATCGCGTTATCCAATAACGGAATTAAATAAGTCGAATAACGAGAATTGACTTGAGAATACATATATTTCGTACATGAAGCGAATGAAACATAGCAAAGCAAAATGACACGTATGGAAGATGGCTGGGAAGCCAACTCCATTTTAATCAAGCGTTACTCAGTATTTATAGTCAGACAAAAATAAACTGCAAACATGTGATGAGTCATGGGATATGAAGTGTACACACATATACGCTCATATATAAAAACAGTTAAGACTAATAAGCGAATAATTGACAAGGTCAAAATATGACTCAAGTAGAATGAATAAAATGGAATGTCCGAAAACTAGAATATAAGATACATGGGCTTAAAATAATGACTGACACTACATAGCCCCCACGTAGAAAATAGCACATTTAAAAAATGTCTGTTTTCGAAAATAACACTCAAGTGATATGAGGTAAATGTTAACAATAAGTAGCGAAAAAAATTGTACAACACTCGATAACGTACAGTGTCACATGAGGGTTGAGCGTATTATATGAAAATGTCATACTTATGCAAAAGAATACATGAATATCGAAAAGGCGCGGACAAAAATGGAAACGTTAGCATGCGAATATGAACAAATTAATGAGCGTACAACAAATTAACATGTACTAATTCTATGACTGTCCGAACGATAAAATAACAAGTTTGTATGAGTGATTCAAATTATCGTGAAAATAGTAACAAATTGTTTGTGGGTAGGACAGCGAAATAAATCGTCAAAATGAGTAAAGTAGAATATGACAGAAGTTGGTCTGTGATGCTGACGAAATAGTGAAATACGTTAAATATATGTTCTGTTGAGCCGCAGCAAAATAAATAGCATCGACTAACGATGAGTGAATTCGAATCTAAATGCGTAACTCCCGTTCGTAGGCAAGTCGTGAAATGATATCTGCATCGACGGGTGATATTCGTTGCTGTACTGCAATTGATAATAATCACAAAATTTGAAGTCAGTGAATGTTTTCGTCTGCGTTATGACAGATGCATTGAGTTATCGTTAAATATGTATTAGTAGAAAAATGACCAGAGGAACAGAATAGTGACTGAGTAGACGAGGTACGTAGAGTCGTATTCCTTTTTGGTCGTGAAGCCTAGAGTGGTTTGTGTGGCTTGAGGGAGATGCGCTCGATCTCGTTTGTTACAAAACCGTACCAAGGCATGACAAAAATACCAATACATATGATTAGCGATGGCGACGTATGAGACTGACTTGGATGTGACGAACAAGAGTGTATCTTTGAGAGACTAGCTCTCAACTCTATGTTCTTATATGCAGTGCGACAGGTATAGAATAGTAGTTGCAGTACTCGAATAGCGTTTTTGAATGATAAGTGATGCAGCATGTAGTTATGCACGTGGAAGAATAGATAAAATGAACGTAATGGTTACTAATCAGCTAGTTAGAAGCATCCACAGACATAATAAGAGACGATTTCGAAATGAAAAATGTATGTTATGATAACATAAATTGCTGACCTCGACTAAGTGAATGAATGCAATATTAGGTCAAAATGACATGAAAAATTGGAACGAACTCACTTAAAGCAGGAAAATTTTACTTTTTTGAATAGTAAAAATATCCCAATGAGTTCTCACAAAGTGGAGTGGAATTTTCATAAAATGATAATTTGTTCGGTGAGTGATATGATTGCGAAAATGTCAATTTAGTGACAGCACGAACAAGATTAATAATTCCACAATCGGTCATGATATTGGCAATAATGTAATAATAAGCATATAATGTTAATTTGAATCGTAATGGAACAAACCGACGAATGGATCAATGAGAATGGTTGACATGAGTACAAAGTATCGATAAGATAATACGACTTGAGCATGTCCATGTCATGTTGCACAGGCTTTGCTGATTGAGTTGGATTGGAGATTGCGCTGGCTTCGCTGAATTTGTTCGTCGAACGTATAGAGTGCAGAGGTTCCTTCATCGACGTAGCTTGCTGCGTTGCGTTCGTCGTCGGCGGGCTCACCATTTTGGTGGCCCTTTGTTCTGACTCCAATTTAGAATGTACGAGTGTTTGTTACCGCCTATTCTCGTATATAATCGTCGACTTAAATCGCGTTATCCAATAACGGAATTAAATAAGTCGAATAACGAGAATTGACTTGAGAATACATATATTTCGTACATGAAGCGAATGAAACATAGCAAAGCAAAATGACACGTATGGAAGATGGCTGGGAAGCCAACTCCATTTTAATCAAGCGTTACTCAGTATTTATAGTCAGACAAAAATAAACTGCAAACATGTGATGAGTCATGGGATATGAAGTGTACACACATATACGCTCATATATAAAAACAGTTAAGACTAATAAGCGAATAATTGACAAGGTCAAAATATGACTCAAGTAGAATGAATAAAATGGAATGTCCGAAAACTAGAATATAAGATACATGGGCTTAAAATAATGACTGACACTACAAATACCTTACCCGAACAAGTGGTATCAGCCTCATCGGTGAATATTTTCTAAAAGAAGCCAAACCTCCACTGGAAGGCAATCTGTCAAGATTAACACAGGTTCATCAACCTACTATCATTACCACTACACAAATCTGAAATCTGAAATCTGAACTCTGATATACTCTTTTAAGGCCACTCAAGGTCGTCAAATCAGAAAGCAATAACTTCAATTCTCAGATCACCTGTCGTTAGTGTCTAGCTGTCTGATCATGGGTGAAGTCCAGGTTCTCAAAGATGTAGCTACACGCCTTAGAATAAACTCAGTAAAAGCAACTGAAGCAGCAGGATCTGGGTAACATTCTTATCTCAGTCATTGTGTCTTAGACATCCTACTTCATGTTCATCTCTGGCTGAAATAATGTCTGTACTTTTCCTTAAGGAAATGCACTACAAACCACAATCACCTAAAAATCCATCAAATGATAGATTTGTATTATCTAAAGTAGGCAACTTTTCTTAGGAGATTCACTGTAGGGCCATGCCGCTCCAATACTTTACGCAGCATGGGCTCAGGTCGGGTTGTTCCCTGAGTCAGAATTGCTTAATCTACGCCAGATAGACTCGGACTTAGAAGGCCATCCCACTCCGGTAAGAATTTCAATACCTGACGCTTGTAGCGCCTGTCTTTTGTTGATGTTTCAACTGGTTCTCTTGGTCAAGGTGTCAGCAATGCTGCTGGGATGGCGTACGTCGGGAAATATATTGACAAAGCAAGTTATAGAGTATACTGCGTGGTTGGAGATGGGGAATCTGCTGAAGGTAGTATTTGGGAAGCAATTGCCTTCTCATCATATTACAAACTGGATAATCTTGTTATAATATTTGATGTTAATCGCCTTGGACAAAGTCAGCCGACACAACTGCAGCACCACTTAGAAACTTATCGACTGAGAACTGAAGCATTTGGGTATGGTTTTAAACGTTCCTTTAAGGTTTTGCTCTGTTCATTTTTAATATCTTTTGGTGTTGTAAAAATCCCATATTTCGTAAGTAGATAACGTGCCTGTTACTTGCGAATAATATGTTGAATTAGGTGTTTAGTGTCCTAAGGATTAGGTACAACAATATTGTCCTAGGGGATGTGAAGAAGTATAATTTCGAATGGCAAGAAGTTATCCCATCGTGCTTGGTGTAACAGCGGATTCAGAACTAGATCACTCAGTTTTTTTTTCTTCTGAACATCTTTGGGTTACAGTTTAGCCGTGTTATATACATCATATCAGTTCTGCACGTTATTGCTATACGACTCTAGTTACTAGAAGAGTGTCTAAACATCTTTTCAGTTCGTTTGCCCATTCCATGTAAAGTAATAAAATTTCCAAGCACTAACTTCAATTTATACAACAGTGCCCTTAAAATGACTTCGTATGTATCCAATGTCTATCCAGTACTAATAAACCTTTCCAGTTCCGGCATATTGCCAGAATTCCCACACATTATCTGGATAGAAGTTAGTTATATTGTCTAGACAAAATACAAATGTATGACCACTTTGCCAAGAGGTAGGCAATGATTGCCTGAAAAATTGTCACAGTTGTATAAACAATTACCTTCGCGTTTCGAATGAAATTATTCCGCTTCTGTGATACAATACTGAAAAAATATCTTTATCGACATCAGTGCATGAAGAGTGGACTATCATGCAATAGTCAATCTGAATACATTCATCATGATTTCAAAAATACAACGCCTTTCTATGCTTTTAGTTGTGAAATCGCTCGAAAAAGTACTGTGGAAGTACAAAGAATTTCGACTAAACTGTCTTCAATCAACGTAAACTATACTACGGTAAACACATCTCAAGTAAACATCAGTACGTCAATTTTATGTAATAACCATGCTTGTAAGCAAAGAGTGTCATACAGTAAACTTGAGCTAAAATGTTTTCGATGTTATCCAAACTGATGATGAAAAATAAATTTAGGTCAACCCGAACGCCACACTCTAGATGTGAGCGATAATACTAACCGCTTCCCTAGACTGAAATATGTGGTACAGGGTTCATGCCTGAAAGTTACTAATCGGAAGTCGGACGCCTCAGCCACTCTACAAGAGGAGCAAAAGCTATTTTGATGTGACATATGTGACTCATATCATTATCACTCAGAACGAGCGATGTTATCTTGTGTAAGAATAGATTGCAGGAAAGTTAGCTGTCAAAAAAATATGGCATCAGTCCATGAAGTCATTGACAGTTGAACTGGGCCTCATTAACATCCGTAGATTACCTGGTGGGTGTCTGCATTACTATCGTAACTAGTGGTTTGAGACTGAATGACATGGCTTAAAATCGTTTCCAGTGGCGCAAGTGCATCCACCCTGCCATTCCCTGATCCTATGCTTCTGACTTCCGCATCATTTTCCTTGTTTATTTTCGGCTTATTTATATTTCCTTGAACAGTACCTTCGATGCCTAATCTTTTTTATCTTTTCTACCAATGGTGCTGTTGCTACCTCTAGTACTCTGGAACTCGGCCTAATAATTCCATCTCTTTCCCAATGGAGTGGCAACTCAAACCGATGTTCTTATGTACCAGGTTCTACCTTGCTACTAATTGACCAACTGAAATTTTATTTTCTCTAACTAAACCAGACATATTCCTTACCCTAAAAGTCATTATACTGATTGATCATATCTTCACCCTCCGCCAAATGTTAGAACACCGCCATACTTATCAAAGGCCAACAATCGTAGTGTTTCTTGACATCAGGGCTGCCTTCGATTCGTTGGACAGAACTGTTCTCTGGGATTGTCTATTGAAGAAGGGCGTGCCTGAGAAGTTTATTAACATCCTAAAGGCCCTATATAAAAACACCTCAGGCAGAGTGAGGGCATACAACCACCTCTCTCCATTGTTCCATTCGAGCAGTGGGGTTAGGCAGGGTTGCCCAATCTCACCATTCCTCTTCAACTTTGCCATCGATGACATTCTGGAAACAGCTCTGATGAATGTAAGTAATGGTGGTGTGGATCTGTTGCCTGGAGAAAGACTTCTCGACCTTGAGTATGCGGACGATATTGTCTTACTGTGCGATAATGCCCAAGGCATGCAATCCGCACTTAATCAGTTGGCAATCAGTGTCCGTAGGTATGGTATGTGCTTTGCACCTTCGAAGTGCAAAGTACTTCTACAAGACTGGCAGGATCCTAATCCTGTACTCACCCTGGATGGTGAGCAGATAGAAGTAGTCGAGAAGTTCGTGTATCTGGGTAGCTGCATAAGTGCTGGTGGTGGCGTGAGTGATGAGATCAATGCACGTATAGTGAAAGCCAGAGCGGCTTATGCCAATCTGGGCCACCTTTGGCGCCTTCGTGATGTTAGTCTGGCTGTAAAAGGTCGGATCTACAACGCGTCGGTGAGAGCAGTTTTGCTCTATGCTTGTGAAACCTGGCCTCTCCGAGTTGAGGACGTTAGACGACTCTCTGTGTTCGATCATCGCTGTCTCCGAAGGATTGCTGACATTCAGTGGCAACACCATGTCAGTAATGCAGAGGTTCGGCATCGTGTGTTCGGGCACAGAGATGATAATGCAATTGGTGTCACCATCTTGAAACACCGACTTCGGTGGCTTGGACATGTTCTACGAATGTCGTCCCAGAGAATTCCACGTCGTGCATTATTTGCCGACTCTGGGACTGGTTGGAAGAAGCGGAGAGGTGGTCAGTGCATGACATGGTGTCGTGGTATGAAAGAAAGCTGCAAAGGACTGGCTTCTGTTGGTCCTTCACGACTCCCTGGTTGGGGTCTGAGAGATGGTGCTACACAGTGGCTAGAGACGTTATCAGATATGGCTCAGAATAGAAGTCAGTGGCGATCCTGCTGTAACCTTCTTTTACTTCATAAAAAGTGGTTGTGTCTCCCTTACCTGAAAGATTTCTTCTGATTGTACCTTTCCGTTCTCTCGTTAATACCACACTACCTTACACCAATCTCTTCGTTATTGTTCTCTTTTTCTTTTGCGCTCCTTAGTTTTTTTTCTATCTCTCTTCGAATTCTCATTGTTTTGTGTGGCGCATATATATTGGCGCTCTCTTGTACCAATATCCATGTGTTGAAATAAATAAATAAATACTGATTGTGGCAACAAATCTTATGGTAATCTGTGTTAAAAGGGATCTGATTTTGACATTCCTTGTTACCCGAAGTAACTCACTCAATCCAGAATGATCTTAACGTATAATGTGACTCATTTTCTAAGTAAAGGTTCAACTACTCTACTTGAAGCCAAACTTTTGGTAGGAACTAATGATAGTACTCAGCCGCTCAATGAAAATTAGGTGAAACAGGGTTAAAACCTGAGATTCAACATTTAGAAGCCACAGTTGAAACTAAAGTAGCCTAGTAAGTACTTACTGGCGAGTCCTTTTAGCCTAACAATCATTAATGTTCATAAAAAAATATCATTGCAAATACATAAGTGAGTATAACTATTTTCGCTGCTAAATTCCTAGTTATAGATATATGAGTAACTTCATGTTTTCCTCCACGTCATCTCTAATATTTAAAGAAAGCAACTTCAATGTATAGTCAAACCATACTGCTTACTGGGCTTATAACTTATTTTAACCAATAAATCTTAATCGACAGTATGTATAGTAAATAAACTGCGCTCTGGTAGTTAGATTGCTTTCTATTCGGTGTTTTTATCTCGTATGTTTAGTTATTGTACATAGTTTCATACTGAGGTGGGTAAATTTCACTAACATTTTTATGTTCGAAAGAGTTTATATATTTTGTCAATTATTAAAGGGAAAGTATTTTTTTAATAACTTTAGGTGTCATTCTATAGTGGTTGATGGTCATAACATTGAGGAGTTACTTAAAGCATTTTCATGTGCTCGTACGGTCAAAAATAAACCTGTTGCTTTAATTTGTAAAACGTACAAAGGTCAAGATTTCCCTGGTATTGCTGATCAGGAGAATTGGCATGGTAAACCTCTTGGAAGTAAGGCGAAGGAAGTACTGGATTACCTCAATGCTCAATTAAGCAAGACTTCAGTTGGCAGTTATCCTCTACCTTCAAAACCGCTGGATGATTGCAGTGAACTAAAACTAATGGGTACTATCAAGCTCCCGTCCCCCCCACAATATAAAATAGGAGATATGGTAATTTATCAAAATGCTATTATATATATATATATATATATATATATATATATATATATTATTTTACTTAGTTGTGTGTTTACTGCATAGTTCAGTTTTCTCAAACCATTTACAATGGTCAATTATTTTGTGGAGGTATTTCTTTCCATATGTATCCGCTTTACGTTTACTTACCATTAGGTGGCTACTCGACTCGCCTATGGCACAGCTCTCTCTCGTATTGGTCAAACTTGTGACCGAGTTATTGGTCTCGATGGTGATACTAAGAATTCAACTTTCAGTATTAAACTTAGAGATGTTAAACCAGATCAATTTGTCGAGTGTTTCATCGCAGAGCAAAACTTAGTGGGTGTGGCTATTGGTTGTGCTGCACGTGGGCGAACCATTCCATTTGTCAGTACTTTTGCCGCCTTTCTCACTCGGTCTTTCGACCAAATACGCATGGGTGCAATTTCTCAAACCAACTGTAATTTCGCTGGTTCACATGTCGGAGTCAGCATTGGTGAGTTCAACGTATAAAATGGTTGAATATTAAAATATCAAAGTTCGTTTGGTAATATCACTCTTTTCCAGTTGCTTGATAATTGTACATTGTTTTTATGTGTGGGCTGCGAGACTATGCGGGTACCGAGACCGAAGTTGGTGGCTTTTTTCGGAAAGAGTTCAAGCTGTTTACCTAAGAGTTTGATCGACTTGAAATGAAGTATCATCCCAAGCGGTTACTGCAATGGGTTTGCACTCAATTTATCCCCCGGTCTTTGAGACCGTACCTACCATTGGTCTAAAATCATGATTCTCCAAATACCCTAGTGGCTTATTGGTAAAAGCGTTTAACTTCCCTCTCCACCTTTTTGTACTCACTTAATTAGCATCCTTCGCACTCACACATAGAATGTGATTCATATATAAGTACCCCGTGAGTTAGTTTTTTCTAGCTTTCTTATCTGCCTGTCTGGTTAGAGCATACAATATCTGCTTTTCATCACGCTTCTGTACGAACACCTATCACGTGAAGTTAATCATTGGGACGGCACCGATGATGAAGTCGTTGATGTTACCGTCTTGAGACGCCAACTTCCGTGACTTGATCATATTTTATGAATGTCATCCCAGAGACTCCCACTATTTGCCATTTCAAAGACTTTGTGGGTAAGGAAAGAGATAGTCGGTTTATGAAAGTACTGTAATACGAAAGATTGCTTTATAAGTCTGAAACCTGTTGGCTCATCTCGGTTCCCTCGCTAGGGTCCTAGTGACGGCGCTGCTCAGTGACTTGTGATATCAAATGTGGTTCAGAGTAGATGCCACTGGCCATCCTGCTGTAGTTTTCTATCATATTTACCCTAAAAGTGAGGTGACATTATTAAACTGAAAGGAGTCCTGTCCGTATTATTCAATAGAGTATTTTTAAAAATTTATTTTCTTGTTTTTATTGTGCCTCGGTGTCTTTATCTGACTCTACTTGGATCGTATGGTATTATTGATGAGATTATCGATAAAGTAAGCTGCTTTGAGGTCGTTGGTCGAAAGTATGGAGTGCAGAAGGTTCTTGACTGACGTAGTTTGCTGCGTTAGGTTTGTCGTTGGCCTCGTCACTTTCTGTGGCCCTTTAACTGACTCATATGAATGATTGTTATCGAATTTTTGATGAGCTTTTCGTTCGACTCACCACCTTAGTGTTCCAATATCTGACTCCAGTTAGATCATATGATGATTGTTATTAAAATATACATACCGCCAACCCTCGTATATAATCATCGACTTAAATCGCGTTGGTAAATAACGGAATTAAATAAGTCAAATACGAGAATGAACTTCGAATATATGTATTTCACACAATCGTTGATCTTGACAGATAATCAGAGAAAGCATATGAGCCAACTCCATTTAACCAAGCGTGACTCGATATTTATAGTCAGACAATAGGTTACAGACACATGATAAATAAGGTAAGTAATTAACACTCTTCCCTCCCTCCCAATCTATTTGTGTGGCACTTTTGTAGGTGCCCCTCCATCTACATATGTGCTAGCTTCTACGCTGCTTATGTCTGGTTGACCGTTGCATCAGGATATGCGCTCTAAATAAATAAGTTGACACGAAACAATAATAAATGTCACCAAATTTCAACATTCAAGTAAATAAACCAACAAGTAATGTCTATCTTAAGTATTTAAATTAATGATAACTTGAATAAAACGTTTATTTCTGGTGATAAATGTTATCCTATTAGTAATATAACTCTCTCTTAAAGAATTAAAATGAAGTTCAATTTACTTGATCACAGAATCTCTGAGTAAAGGCTTACGAAACTTTTGATTTTGTAAGACGCTTTAATCATAGCATGTCAAACCCTCAGTGTAAAACCTTTGTAAGTGAATGAAATGCATCTTCTTGATAATCTTTTTCTCTGAAGGATTACTTGCATTTGATATAGTCATCGAATGTACAGTGCTAATTTTAGGTGAGGTAGTAGATGAACATTGTGAGTCAGCTGGTAAAAGTTGAAATCTGCATGGATTAGAATGATCAGTGTATTATGTGTATCTAACTACCGTTTATCTCAAGCATACCGTACTAGTGTCGGATTAGTTTAATGAAACACTTAAAGTAACAAAAGCAATACACTGAGTTAGCTTATTGTTATGTCCTGACGAGAATAATGAATAGTAACTGTCGGGATCTATTTGTGCACTAATACTACGCATATATCTTTATTGTACAATTAAATAACTAAAATAGGTATATTCATATTCTTATTATAAGCTTTATTTTGACCTACAGACGATTATTAAGCGATTTACCATTCTTCAATTATCCCCAGCTTATTAATTGAAGTTCCCCACAATCACAGCCACTTTCGGCTAGATCTTGTACAAATTTTATGGTGTTACGTGGTCTGTTTGGTTTGTATATAAACCCCATATGTTTGAAATATATGATTCATATCGTAGAGGCTGAGATTGGTATTCCGGACTCAAGAGGTGGGAAGGAATTATAAGGACTCTAGGCTGCTGGTACGGGTTTTATGCGTCATTGGTCCAGTCGATAAGCCACTGTTCTCTATTTGGCAGTATTATTACGTTATATATTAATAAGGCACAATGCTACTAACCTCGATAATTATCAGACGCCTAACTAAGACTCATGAACTGCAAACACGAGAGACTCAAGCTGGCTTCAGACCAGGTCGTGGCTGCATCGACCACATATTCACCATTCGTCAGATTCTAGAACACAGGCATACTTATCGGCGTCCGACAATGGTGGTCTTTCTCGACTTGAAAGCAGCATTTGACTCTGTAGACCGCGAGATTCTGTGGCAGTGTCTGTCATTGAAAGGCGTACCCCAGAAGTACATAAACCTTGTGAAGGCTCTTTATTCGAACACTACCAGTCGAGTCAGAGCTTATGGAGAACTGTCATCTGCTTTTGCAACCTCAAGTGATGTCCGTCAATGCTGTCCACTTTCTCCATTTTTGTTTAACTTCACCATAGACCTATTGATGGAAATAACATTCTCGTCTACTGAGTTCTCGGGTATTGATCTCCTTCCAGGAGGTTCACTTATCGACTTAGAATACGCAGATGATATAGTCCTGTTTGGTGAAGACGCTGAAAAAATGCAGTCTTCTGGTAGCACTAAGCAACAATGCCAGGATGTTTGGAATGAGCTTCTCTCCCTCTAAATGCAAGTTGTTGCTTCAGGACTGGTCTGCGTCAACACCTGAACTAAGGATAGGGAGTGAAGTAGTCGAACGCGTCGACAACTTCACTTATCTTGGAAGTCTGATCAGCCCTAATGGGTTGGTGTCTGACGAAATCTCAGCACGGATTCGAAAAGCTCGTTTGGCTTTTGCCAACTTACGTCACCTTTGGCGGAGGCGAGATATCCGTCTATCAATAAAAGGACGAGTATACTGCGCGGCAGTCCGTTCTGTTTTACTTTACGGCAGCGAAACATGGCCATTAAGAGTAGAAGACACTCGTGAGCTACTAGTATTTGACCACAGATGCCTTAGAAATATTGCTGGCGTCTGCTGGGATCACCGGGTAAGTAATAGTGAGGTTAGACGCAGGGTATTAGGGAATAATGGTAAATCAGTTGATGAAGTTATGAATCTTCATCGACTGAGATGGTTGGGCCACGTGTTACGTATGCCTGAACACCGATTACCACGACGTGCAATGCTAGCCGGTATTGGAGATAGTTGGAAGAAAGTTAGGGGCGGCCAAACCAAAACGTGGCATCAGTGCTTGAAGTCACTAACTTCTAGTCTGAGCCATGTTGGTAGATGCAGACTACTTGGTTGGGGTCCGCGTGACTATCGTAACCAATGGTTGGAGACTCTTGGTGACATGGCTCAGAATCGATCACAATGGCGTCGGTGTATACACTCTCTGTCTTCCCTTAAACTAAGGGATTAAAATCAATTCATATCTTTCTTTCTACGAACCAATTCTTTCTTCTTGTACTATATCTCTATATGCAATCTTTCTCCTATATATTACCACCTTTGACCCAACCACTGCTATGAACCCAGTGTTCATCTTGTTGTGCTGATGCGGTATGGCAACCTGGACCGATGCACATATGTGCCTGGTCCTACGTTGTAGCTGACTGACTGACTGAAGGCACAATGCCACAAGTTATAACACTTATTAAGAGCCTCTCCTTTTTTAAACTATATAGTCAGGTTCAAGCTTTGTAAATAAGTTCCTTGAGGGGCTATATGCAATAATTCTAAGCGTTTATTGATGTGGATAAAAATCAGATGTAGGATTTTAATACTTAAAGTAAATGGTTATTGGATTTGGTTAACATTCATATCTTTACCACACTAATGAACAAAAGTTTACGAAACCGGCTTGTGCTGCTTACCTATCCCAATTCACGACAATATCAATACATGCCATTCAAAGCTTATTTCGTATATCACTTTTTGGATACATTTTATGTTATGCTGTGTAGCAGTTATTTTAATGGTTCAGGGTTATCTCTTTTTTCACCTGTTTACTATTTGTGATGTTTTTTCCTGAAACAGGTGAAGATGGACCAAGTCAAATGGCTTTAGAAGATATGGCTATGTTTCGTTCTGTGATTGGCTCCACAGTGTTTTATCCATCGGATGCTGTGTCGACCGAACGAGCTGTTGAACTGGCAGCTAACACCGTGGGGATCTGTTATATACGAACTGGACGACCTAACCAACCTGTAATTTATTCTCCCGAGGAATGCTTTTGTATTGGTAAAGGGAAAGTAAGTGACAATTTAACCTATATTTAGTATTTTTAAATCTTACATGCTTATTCAATCTTGCTTTATCCCTTACTGTAGAAAATCTAGTAATTCGTCCAGGTGCTCGTAATTAATGTCTTACGGTTGCATTCTTGAAGTTAGTTTTTAAACATTAAGAATAAATGCCAAAAATATCACTATTATCAATGTTGTAGACAAACGAGAATTAATCAACTCGATTTGGCGATACATTTATCTTCACATATTTTCAAACCACATTCACTGTACGAAATTTACCTGGCGTCAACATACAATAAAATGTACAAAATTCTCATAAAACTATTAACATGTATAAATGTTTTCCTCTACAAGACCAGTAACACTACTTTTGTTATTCATTTCATCATTATTCTATCCATTAAGTCTAAAGCGCACAAATCACTAAATATATATTTCCATAAAATCAGAAACTGATAATATTATAACCTATTCTATGTAATTCGAACAAATCTCTCAATGTTTTTATAGTGCTTTACTTTAGACTTTATAGTATGATAGTTGTATAGATTGTTATCAAAAACCAGATAAATGTACGTAAATGTACAAGCTTACAATTGTTTATGGCTATCTTTCACTTCAATAGGTTGTTCGCACTGCAGGACCTACTGGTGACCATTTAACTGTAGTTGGTGGTGGTATTACAATAACTGAAGCCTTAAAAGCAGCCAATATTCTTGCAGCTGAAAATATTAATATTCGTGTAATTGATCCATTCACTATTAAGCCAATAGATGCAGAATTACTCGCAAAGGCTGTCAAAGAAACATGTAACAAAGTACTGACAGTAGAAGACCATGCACCTGAAGGTAAGTAGTGCTTCAATTATTATGTAGTGATTAAATTAGCGAAATATGAAATTTCTGTCAAAATTTTGTTTTACGCATAGCTCAGTTAAACTGTTATGTCACTTATATAGTTGTAGTATAACTATTCCGGACCTCCCAATCGATTTTGGCCCACCAACAATTAAAGAGATCAACATGGCCATCAGATAAATCAAGAGCGGCAAAGCAGCAGAACCAGAAAACATTCCAGCAGAGGCACTGAAAGCAGACGTAGCGGTAACTGCAAAGATACTCCACAATTTCTTCAATAAGATTTGGGATGAAGAACAAGTACCAACAGATTGGAAAGAAGGACTTCTGATCAAATACCGAAGAAAGGCAATCTCAGCAAGTGTGATAACTACAGGAGCATCACTCTTCTCTCAATACCGGGAAAAGTCTTCAACAGGGTATTGTTAAACAGAATTAAGGACTCCGTAGATGAGCAACAGGCTGGATTCCGTAAGGATCAATTGTGTACAGATCAAATCGCAACACTACGGATCATTGTGGAACAATCAATTGAATGGAATTCATCACTCTACATCAACTTCATTGACTACGAAAAGGCATTGATAGCGTGGACAGGACAACACTATGGAAGCTTCTTCGATACTACGGCGTGCCTCAGAAGATAGTCAATATCATACAGAATTCGTACGATGGATTAAACTGCGAGGACAGTTGACAAACTCGTTCGAAGTAAAGACCGGCGTATTGGTATTGTGTATTGGTTCAGAAGCACATGTAACTAGTCTGAATTAAAAATTTCCCATTACTTCCATATCTTCATGTATTTCGTAGTTCTCTTGACCGTTCGAAGTCGCACATTATTGTTATACTACTTTTTTAATGTTACCCTAGATAATGCCGTCAAAAGTTTCTACATAGGCTCTTATTTTTTCTTGTTCAGTCAATAAAACTACTTATATTTAAATTTGATTTGCTTCGTTATTTAGTGATTTAGCTGACTATTCGTTATATCTGTTGCTTTATCCATTTTCTCTACTGTTTGTCTTCTTTGTGATATTTATTTACAGGAGGTATAGGAGATGCAGTTAGTGCAGCTCTCTCACAATGTGGCGTAGACCATACTGTTCAGAGATTAGCTATCAGAGAAGTGCCGCGTTCTGGGAAACCAGAAGAATTACTAGCCAAATATGGTGTAGATGCAAATGCTATTGTTCGTGCTGTAAAAGCATTACTTGGCAAATGATAAATGCTGCATGGTATTATCTTCTGTTTTAATAATTATTGTGATTCAATATTAGGTCAATGTTAATTAATTCAATTTTAATTACGAAATTCTAATCAATAATTCTTCACTTCATAACGATTAATATTATTATTGCACTTTCAGTACACATTTGTCGTACCATGTGGATTTTTGAATTGAATTATTCTGTTTGTTGTCTGGTTAGTTTTCTAATCATTAGACTTTATTTTCTAGTAATAAAAAATTCTTTCTGAACTTTTTGAGTCCTTTTTTACTTGATATATGCTAATTAAAATAATTAAGATTTCAGTCGTAGTAAAAATAAAACATTAGATCGGTTTTTAATTAGAATGTGTAAAGCGAATTCTGTAAAATATTAAAGTCAGCAATTCAACTTGTTTAAATATTTCAACAAAATTCATATTGACTCATGGCACACACACTTTGTTCCCGGGAAACTTATTCAAAACAATTGAATTCCAAGGTTCACTCAGGATTTCCCATCTTGTCACTAGGTGTTGTAACACTATGAAATCTATTATTGCTCACAGGTTTGTCCAGCCTCTCCAGTGATTGCGCAACATATGATATTGAGACTGAATTCCTCTTCAGGTCTTTTAATTTGAGCCGTTATTCTTACCAAGTTAACTAAACCTATTTGTTTTTCAGATGGGTTCTATGCCTTAGTCATTAAGTAGTGTTATCGAATCGTTCTGACTTTTGTCTGTCCAGTCTGGTCTGCAGGAGAAATTTTAAAACTGTCAGCTATATGAATAAACAATCCTATTATTTTTAACCTTCAAATATTTGTGTATTTCACAGCCTTCGTTTGTATTGGATATTTATCTTTCTTTAGAGTTTCTTGTGGCTAACTTGTTGTACATTGGAGTCGAAAACAGTATTTCCCATTTGCTGTACATACACGTTTCTTTGAATAAGGAAATCTCCGTATAATTAAGCAATAAGTCGTTTTCTACCCATTGAGATTCTTATCTGATTGTCGAATACTGTGTTTCAGTTCTCAATTCATTATACTAGTAAGTAAACCGTTCCACAATTTTAAAATATAGCCTCGGAAAAATATACGTCTAACGATAAATTTTAGCATGGTCTTAAAATATTACTTTAGTGCCTTTCAGCATTATTACTCAAACTATAACCTTAGAAATATCTATTCTTGACATACTTTAAGTGGATTTATTCTTGCAAGAGTTATCTAAGGGTTAAAAATATTTGTAGTACACAATAAGACCGTACCTAAATCATTGTGTAAGGATATATATTCTCAACTTATTAACCAACATATTAGACGTTCTATTCAACCGTATGAACAAACGCAGTGTGTTAGCTTGTATTATTTATTTCTGAAAAACAAACATGGGCTTCCGACTACTGCGTTGAAATCTCCGTACTGATAGACCGAATGATTTATATCAGCAACACACTAACTGGTTACTGACCATTAAGGATTCGGATTCCACTGACCCTTTATTTGGCTATTACATTCATTATCTACATGAGACTGAAACCGTATTCAGTGTTTCAAAGTATATTTTACTAGACGTGGATGAGAATTATTTCTAAATAAAATCATATTGATATAAATGATCTGTTTCAATATACATAAACTTAGATGAGAAAAACACCAAAATTGAATAAAGAGCAATTTAGTTTTACTTGAATGGTATTTCTTATTATAAGTTGATGTGATGGAATGTAACACTAATTATCTTAATAATAGATATAATTGTAGACTCTAAATATTAAAAAATATGTGAAACAATTAGTTCCTGGATAATGTAATAAAAAGACGAAGATTATCAGAACTATGTGATATATTAGCGCAATGAATTCCGAAAAATCTGATCACACATATACTTGTTAAGAACATTTATATATAAAAATAAAAGGTCAACTAGAATAGAAATGGGAGATATTCAAAACAGTTTGTTCTCACCTTAAACCTACTTTGACAATACTAGCTTATTATCCAGCGTGACGAGGTTTCAAATTGTCTTTCATATTATTCCCTTTATTAAAAAATATATTTGAGTTATATATACAGTGATATTTTCAATAAATAACCAAATAGATAGGTTAACATAAAGTTTTTTTTTGTGGTTTGAAGTTTTCTATGATTACTTACGCCTGTTACTCCTCGTGGAGGAGCATAGGGCGCTCACCAGCATTCTCCATCCAACCCTGTCCTGGGCAATCCTTTCTAGCTCCATCCAGTTGTATTTCATCGTTTTCATATCTGCTTCTATTATCCAACGCAATGTGTTCTTTGGCCTTCCTCTTTTCCGCTTCCCTTCACGATTACAAGTTAGGGCTTGTCTCGTGATGCAGTTTGATGATTTGCGTAATGTATGTCCTATCCATTTCCGTCGTTTTTTCCTAATTTCCTCTTCAGCTGGAAGCTGGTTTGTTCGCTCCCACAAAGGGCTGTTGCTGATGGCATCCGGCCAATGGGTGTTGAGTATCTTGCGTGGACAACCATTTATAAATACTTGTACCTTCTTGATGATGGTTGTTGTAGTTCTCCAAGTTTCAGCTCCGTACAGTAGAACTGCCTTGACGTTCGTATTGAAGATCCTCATTCTGATATGGTTGAAAGTTGTTTTGAGTTCCATATGTTCTTCAATTGTTGGAATACGGCCCTTGCTTTGCCAATCCTCGCTTTTACGTCTGCATCCGATCCTCCCTGTTCATCGATGATGCTGTTCAGGTACGTGAAAGACTCCACATCTAGAGTATCGCCATCTAGTGTGATTGAGTTGGTGTTCCCCGTGTTGCATTTAAGGATCTTGTTTTTTCCTTTGTGCATATTGAGACCTACTGATGCAGAGGCTACTCCTACACTAGTTGTCGTCATCTGCATTTGTTCGTGTGTATGGGATAGGAGGGCTAAGTCATCTGCGAATTCCAAATCGTCTAATTGGTTCTGAGGTGTCCATCGTATTCCGTGTTTTCCCTCATATGTCGAGGTCTTCATAATCAATTTAGCCACCAGAAGAAAGAGAAAGGGGGTAGTAGACTGTAGCTCATCTAGAGTTGCTTCCGGTCACAAGCCCGGGTAAATGAGGAAGGGTGGGCATAGGGTTAGCGACCCTATCCGTAGAAAACTAACTCGCTAAAAAACGATAACCAGAAAAAAAATCGAACCATTTATATGATATAGTTTTTATCAATATACTCATTATTGATGGTATTTTTAGTAGAAAGATTACGTAAAACCAACAAGACCAGCACCGATGCAGTATTTAATTTGGGGAAATATTTACCACTATAACATAAATGAACATAAGTTAGCCTACTTATGACAGAAATGATATGTTTTCGAAATAAGGAGTAATAATTAAAGAATTGACGTTTAGCGAGCTTGACAAAAGCACTCATTTACAGCAACATAGAAACTAATACATTTCATAGAGAATGATTTAGATGATTTCCGCTCATTTATAAGTGGTACGGCAACTCGAACTGATGTACGTACGTACGAAGTTCTACGTTGTTACTGACTGACGAACATTTATAAGTAACCTTTAATTATTTAGTGATTGAGTGATATTCAAAATCCTTCTAGACTGCAAAAATACTTGACGGAAGTGTGCATTTGTAAATTGAATGCGCGTATCTGGATTTCAATAAATATAGCAAATAACGTTTGGCTGTTTATATGTAATCTGATATGGAAGAAGTTTGCAAACAATTAAACAACGCGGTATTGTGTTAGAGCTGAAATTCATAATAATTTTACAAGACTTGTGAGAGATTGGTGACGATATACAGATTAAAAAAAGTGAATTTTAATTGGCATAAAGTTCAATACGTAGTTGTATGTTACTCAGTATCAAATTACAGAGTAGTGGAGCGAGTTTTCGGTTGCTAATATGACCTTTCGGATAAAAATCTGTTTTAACCAAATATTAAATAAAAGGTTTATTAGTTTAAAGCTAAGCACAACACGCATAATGCCTGAACTGAATCGGACGTGAGGTTGAAAGCTAGGATTATCATAACACACCCCTCTTAATGTACATTAAGCTCACAATAAGTTATCATTATTGTTAATATTTTCTACATCGTTCTACACATTTTATGCATATCATTTAATTTATTACTATTACAATGGCTATAACTCGACATCTTACAACGAATCATTCTGACCTTTAGCAAATGACCTTTTCAAATTACAAATAACACAATTTTGAAGTAATTATATCGTGACGGATGCAAAGGTTAACCATTTTTAACACATAACATTTGAAACAGTTACTGAGACTATGTACTAAGAATGTGCAGTTCCAATTTAACAATAAAATATACTGTCAAGCAGATGGGGTGGCTAAGATAAGTTTTTTAGGACCTAAAAGCAAATTCCGTGGCGCGAAATTAGTACCAATGTACACGACACTATGCTCATGGACATAAACAAATATAGGTAAATATCCGTCAGAAAATATCTCCAAATGCACACATAATTCTACATGTGCATTTAAAAATGTATAGATTGAAAGATGTACATCTACCCGTTATAATAAGTATATTCCAAAAAATACATATCCGAAGAGGAAATTGTTTAGGGAATTCAATAGCACACCACCTGCTTGACACGCGACACAATGTGTATTTAGTGAACGCGTTACTGAAATCCACAGAACCCACAACATTTAGGATGCCTTAACCTGACCTTGTATACAAGAAGAGTCGGGAGTAAACATTCAAATGCGTTGGAACCATTCTGACCACTTCATTTTTCAACTGTATATGATCACGATTAGGTAAGTTGAAATCATGTCAACTTTCCTTTTCTAAGCTTCCAAAAATGTCATATCAACCAATTAATATCGAAATTCTAGAACTAGAACCTTATTAAGTTATAAAATAATCTACTCCGTGTTGTTTTATCAAAATTTATAAAAATATCATTCCTTTTAAAACTTATTCTTAACTTCTTCCATACTATGCATAACTTTTTTAATATCGATTGAAATTAGTATCATACTCTTAATTGGAAATAATTAAACATACTAACTTTTATGCAGCTGAAGAGAAATCAATAGAATATAATGAATTCGTCGTATTATCCAAATATTGTCGTTCTCCCTTTGTTTAAATTTCTGAAGGGAATAGTTCCAACTATATTCGTTATTTTTAAATGAATTCATTGATCTTTATTTGCTTGCCTTCAGACGTATTACTGTTATTCACAAACCATTACGGGTTTGCACACATAAACAATCGTTTACAATATTTTAAGCAGAAATTGATGGTAGCTAGCATTGAAATCCAGGATGGGCGTTTCATCCTATTTGGGACTCGTCAGCTGGATGCACCTGATGCGCTAATAATGCGATGGCGTTTAAAACCAAAGGTACTGGATTTGAGTCCCAGAGTGAACACCAACTCTGGGGTGCAGGTATAACCATCTGACGAGTCTCAAAAGGGCCGAAACGCGCGCCCTGGTTTCCACAATTAGCTACCATCAATCTTTGTTTAAAATGCTTGTGCTTTACTGGCAGTCAGTCAGTCACAACGTAGGACCAGGCACATATGTGCATCGGTCCAGGTTGCCATACCTCATTAGCACAGCAAGATGAACACCGGATTCATAAAAGTAGTTAATTCAGAGGTGGTAATATATAGGAGGATTGCAATAAGGATATAGTATAGGAAGAAAGAATTAGTTCGTAGAAAGAAAGATATGAAGTGATTTTAATCTCTTAGTTTAAGGAAGACAGAGAGTGTATACACCGACGCCATTGTGATCGATTCTGAGCCATGTCACCAAGAGTCTCCAACCATTGGTTACGAAAGTCACGCGGACCCCAACCAAGTAGTCTGCATCTACCAACATGGCTCAGACTAGAAGTTAGTGACTTCAGGCACTGATGCCACGTTTTGGTTTGGCCGCCCCTAACTTTCTTCCAACCATCCCCTACACCGGTTAGCATTGCACGTCGTGGTAATCGGTGTTCAGGCATACGTAACACGTGGCCCAACCATCTCAGTCGATGAAGATTCATAACCTCATCAACTGATTTACCATCATTCCCTAATACCCTGCGTCTAACCTCACTATTACTTACCCGGTGATCCCAGCAGATGCCAGCAATATTTCTAAGGCATCTGTGGTCAAATACTAGTAGCTTACGGGTGTCTTCTACTCTTAAGGGCCATGTTTCGCTGCCGTAAATTAAAACAGAACGGACTGCCGCGCAGTATACTCGTCCTTTTATTGATAGACGGATATCTCGCCTCCGCCAAAGGTGACGTAAGTTGGCAAAAGCCAAACGAGCTTTTCGAATCCGTGCTGAGATTTCGTCAGACACCAACCCATTAGGGCTGATCAGACTTCCAAGATAAGTGAAGTTGTCAACGCGTTCGACTACTTCACTCCCTATCCTTAGTTCAGGTGTTGACGCAGACCAGTCCTGAAGCAACAACTTGCATTTAGAGGGAGAGAAGCGCATCCCAAACATTCTGGCATTGTTGCTTAGTGCTACCAGAAGACTCTGCATTTTGTCAGCGTCTTCACCAAACAGGACTATGTCATCTGCGTATTCTAAGTCGATAAGTGGACCTCCTGGAAGGAGATCAATACCCGAGAATTCAGTCGACGAGAGTGTTATTTCCATCAATAGGTCTATGATGAAGTTAAACAAAAATGGAGAAAGTGGGCAGCCTTGACGGACACCACTTGAGGTTGCAAAAGTAGATGACAGTTCGCCATAAGCCCTGACTCGACTAGTAGTGTTCGAGTAAAGAGCCTTCACAAGGTTTATGTACTTCTGAGGTACGCCTTTCAATGACAGACACTGCCACAGAGTCTCGCGGTCTACAGAGTCAAATGCTGCTTTTAAGTCAAGAAAGACCACCATCGTCGGACGCCGATAGTATGCCTGTGTTCTAGAACCTGACGAATGGTGAATATGTGGTCGATGCAGCCACGACCAGGTCTAAAGCCAGCTTGGTTCTCTCGTGTTTGTAGTTCACGAGTCTTAGTTAGGCGTTTGATAATTATCGAGGCCAGTATTTTAGATACTATGTTTGTTAAACTAATCCCTCTGTGGTTGTCACAGGATGATTTTGACCCTTTCTTATATATTGGGACGATAAGTGATTGCGACCAGTCAGATGGGATAACGTCTAATTCCCAGATCTTAGCTAAAATATTAGTCAACCTAATCGCTAAAATTGGACCACCATCCTTAAAGACCTCTGGAGCCAATCCATCTGGACCAGCTGCCCTTCCTCGTTTCAGATTAACTATAGCCTTCTCAACTTCAGCAAGAGTTGGGGGACCTACTTCAATGTTCCATTCACATTGTCTGGGAATGGAGGGTAGTTGTAGAGTAGCTGAAGGCCAGCTGAACTGTTCTCTAAAATGTTCCGCCCATCGTTCTAAACGTCTGGACTGGGAGCAGATGAGAGTATCATCTTTTTCCGAAATAATCTCACTTACACTTGACTTATTAATTCCAGTTTCTTTTATTAGTCTGTAAAGCTGTCTTGTGTTCCCTATAGTCGCCGCCTTTTCCATCTCTTTTGCTTTCGTTACCCACCACTGCTCACGGTCGTTCCTTAGACTTTTTCTTAACCTAGATCTGATTTGTTTACGCTCTTCATCATGTTCAGAACCTGATGGGACGAGTTTGCGAGAATCCATCAGTGTGACAGACCTTGAAGAAATCCACTGGTTCCTTGTAACTCTGTGGTTTAAGTCACTAATAGATGTCACTGCTGTTTCCACAGCTGCTTGTATGCCCTTCCAAGCAACATCTGGGTCAGCCTCGTCTTCACAACTACCTAAGTGTGACCTCAGTTGTTCCTGGAACCTACTTTTGGTTTTCTCGTTACTCAACTCAGTTCTAATGGGTCTTTTTAATGTGGCTTTTTTGCGTCCAGTGAGGCGCAAGCAGATGCGTGCCCGTATTAGGGCATGGTCGGAGTCCAAGCAGGTACTCCAGAATGAGCGACAATCTTCTACCGACCCTCTCCAACGATGACTGATGGCAATATGGTCTATTTGAGTCCATCGTTGGTTTGGTGTAGGGGGTCGCCATGTTAGACGATGTCTCTCCTTATGCTTAAAATTTGTGTTTGCTAAAAATAAACGATTGTCTGAGCATAGCTGCAGCAGACGATCACCATTATCTGTTCGCTGTGTCGGAATACTAAAATATCCACCTAAATGCCTTTCTGTTTGGTTTAAACTGCCTATCTGAGCATTAAAATCACCTGCTACGAGTACTATGTCTGAGCGTTTAGCTTTCTGAAGAAGTTCGGAAAGCTTTCTGTAAAATTCATCTTTCACTTCATCTGAGCTGCAGTCAGTGGGAGCGTAGGCAGAAACGACAAAAAGGCAACGACGTGTGTCCCTATCCTTCCGAGTTCTTACGTAGCCGTTCAGCCGAACAGCACATAGACGACTGTTGACGGGGATCCACTCTAGCAGTGCTTGTTCGGCCCTCATGCTTAGTGCTATGCCTACACCTGCCAGTCCACGAGAACTTGCCATCGGGTCACCAGATACACGAAGGGTGTATCTCGTTGGCTCTCCGTTTGCCGAGGTGAGGTCAAGTGAATGACCACACTGGAATCCTGTATGCGTGTTTCGGAGACACAACACACATCAATGGAAAGAGACTCTAGGGTTTTAGCCAAGGAAGCCTGCTGACCGATTTGACATAGGGTGCGTACGTTGAAGGCTCCAATGTGTAGTTTGGAGCGAGGTTTCAGTAGACCTGGGACAGTGTTTTGCGCACTAGAATCGTTGGCTATGGTGACACTTGAGGTGGAAGCCGAGAGGGGAAATTTAGAGTTGAAAGTCGATGTAGGAGGAATAATAGGAATTGAAGAGGAGGTTGATTATGAATACAGTGGTCTTGAGTGCTGTTAGAAGTGTGAGGGCGGTTATCACTTCCCGGTTGCCCACACCGTGGAAGGGTTGTTCTGGAGGTACCTGAAAAGGAAATTGGATTAGAGGTGGTCTTAGTGACCTGAGAGCGTGACCGCAGTGCCCAAGGGACAACTGCTTGAGGTCGGTCACACACGACCTTGTTATGGGTAATTTTTGTGTTAGCTCCGTACTTATTGAGACCTTACCGCCGGAGACGGATATCCGTGGGATAAGGCGAGGTGTGCATTTTTAGGGTCGACCTTTTCTAACCCCACCCCTCCTTGTGGGAAGGCAGCATCGCTGTCATGCTGGTTGTCTGAAGGAAACACCTTACTGCTGTCACACCTCTGTACAGTCAGCAGTACGACTTCGCCTTCGGACCTTGGGTTTGTTGCTTTTAGTCTTACCGCTCTTCAACCGACCTGTCTGACATGGTAGGACCTTGAGGAACGGTTGTTCCAGCCAGTATAGCTCGGTTGCTTCATCACGATAGGCAAGCCCGACCACCACGTCAAGGTAGCAACAACGGTCGGGGCTTTACTGGCAACATCGAGGCGATCCGCACAGAAAACACAAATGCCAATTCCAGGCCTCAACATCAATGGGAAGATTCAAACAACCAATATTTAAAAATTAAAATTGTTTACAACAATCACACTAATGATATTTATTGTTATAGTTTGTCTAACGGATTCCATGATAATTTGGCGATTAGAGAGTAAATTTAAATATTTATGAGAAACTGTTTAAAATGGCAATAATAAATGAAAATTTATGAACCTTGTTACACAAGTTTGTTTGTGTCAATAACTTACATCATTAATACATAAGTAATGGTTATTACAATGTTAGGTGTACTAGTTCACATACATAGTTATTTCAAAATATCTACTATTCTATGTATGCCAACTTTGTGAATTAAACCAAATAAAACTACATAGATATAAATCATCACTCGCCAATCACTTGGCATAGCATATCCCCAGTTGAAATATCGAAATCAATAAATAGTACTAACTATTATAGAATAACTTAGAAAAGTAACTTCTGTCAAACAAAATGGATTTCTGAATCATCAGAGTAACAGTTCATAGTAGATAATACTCTATATGCAACAACTTTATTTCACCTCATTATTTGTCAAAGTGATAAACACATTTTAATATATATATATAATGTAATAACGCGTAATACTGAAGTTTAAGAAACACATTTAATTCAAATCATTGAGTATTTAATAATGACAGTATAAGTAACAAGAAATATAAAAGGAAAATAATATTAAATGCAATCAGTTTGAGATCACAGAATATTTTTGTTAGAAGAAAAACATATTAAAAACAAATTGATTTCGTTGTTCACGAAAACGATAATTATAGTCATAATCATAGTAACGAATAAACGACACGCACATATGACTAAGCGAGAGAAAAAAAGCAGGAAACAAACATTGTATTGAATTATGCAGCAGTTATGATAGCCTTGAACAATAAAAGATTCAATAAAATTGGATCATTTAGAGAGGCATTTCAAATTCGTATTTTTCTTCTTCAAACTCCTGAAAATAGGAAACCATAAATTGATGTTATAAATGAAAGATCTATGAAACTTTTGGATCATGGTATAAAAAATTTATTTAGCGCCATGTATATATTTTCGCAGAACAAAATGATTAGGTTACTAAATACAAACTGAACGTCTATATTTAGTTAGTTATTATCATTTCGGTGAATTTTCTTAACGTTACATATTATAAACCGTTCCGTATAAATTCAATGAAGTACAACAATGATAAAAGGACTCAATATTAGTAAATTGAAATCCAGTCTTAATATAATAACCACTGTTCCATGATTATAAGTTAATTTCTGTTGTAAATATTAATAGTACTCATCATATTGCACGAAAAGTAGTTAGTTGTGAAGTTCACTCATTAATATGAAAGAAAACTATGTAAATTTTGACCAACGATCATAGATGAAGTTCCTCGGTGAATTTTGTTAACTATTTGAACGACCAAAATGTTGGCAGGATAAGTTTACTACTTGCGTAAATTAAAGTAGTATACTTTGATAACAAAAATATCGCCAACCATTTCATTCGACGAAGACCTTTTTCATTATAATTATTATTCATTAGATTGGAAGCAAGGAAATGTGTTCGACATAAATCTAATGATGTGTCAGTGTGGAGCATTATTTTACAAAGAAGTTATTTCCACCACCATGTTTACTATTTTATTGGCTGAATTAATTACTAGGCTCCAGGTATCAAAAAATAAATTAACGATTAAACCACGATATTATGCTTAGCCATATAAATTAGAGCTGAAATTTCATCGACATATCTCTTGAATTTGCAAGCTAATCCAATAAATATGTAGACATTGGGTGCCAGTAACAGCTTAAGTGTATAGAAGAGAGTATAAGATAATTAAATTTGAGTGAAATGCAATAACTAATACCTATATTCTAAAAACCCGCTTCAAGACTCCACTGGTCGACTTGATGATTTCAAAGCTATCCAAATAAACAAAAATACTAAACCATATTCTAAATACTTCAGTGTATTTATTCCAAACAAGATTACAAATAGAGACACGTTTCTTGGCTTACAAAGAACTTATATTTAAGTTTTGAATAATTTTAAAAGAAATACTTTATTATCTAATGAAAAATATATCCACTTCGCTAATGGCTTCTTCTTGAAGTATCTGATCTCCTGAGATTCAAATTTTATTACAACGATCACATGTATTCCTCCATCTTTGTCAAGTGACCATACAGTTAGTGACTGTTTTGCTATTTTTCAATCGATAGTTTCGTTATAAGACTTGGTTGTTGGAGTATATAAGTTACCAAATACATAAATTAAATTAATACTCACTGAAATAACGCTGATTAATTTATATCTTCGCGATTAGACTATAACTTATGAGTGACCTTTAAGCGATACTAAGGCGACGTTGAGAGAATTCATCTACTTACTACGGTCAAAAGAGGGTTATGAATAACTGAGAGGAATAAGGATTAATATTTTATTTAAAGTTATGAGAAGGGGTTGGGATTGGGATTTTCATCACGAACTGACATTAGTTATAATCCCAAAATGTTATTTATCCATATGGATGAATGAATTTTGCGCCAAAATCCAAGACCTGCTATATTAAATCTGTTTAGTTCGTCCATAAATTATAGTCTCGTCTGTCATCGATTTTAGTACATATCTGATCTCTAAACGAATGTAATACCGAACCCTCATGATACTTGTAAATTATCATAAAACACGAATTTGACAACAATGTTGTTATCCATAGTATTGCCAAGTAAGCAAAAGGGATAGATAGCTATTATTTCAGATATTTCAGTTTCGAGAACTAAGTAAATGCAATCTTCGTTATAATTATTCCTCCTAGTGCATTAACCAACTCCGCCTGGAGTCCCTCCGGGTGCTACTGCCGGTCCCAAGCCCGGATAAAGGAGGAGGGTTGGGCATGGGGTTAGCATCTCCATCCCGCAGAAAACTAACTCGCTAAAAAACTCTAACCAGAAAAAATTATTCAAACCTTTTAAACTCTGTCCTGGGAGTCAGAAGGTCTTCATTTAGAAGAACTATGACGCCTCATGATGAAAGCCGAATTCCTTCGGAAGTTACGAGGCCGATGCCCCTTCTGACAACCAGAGCGACCATTTATTTAGGTACATGGAATACTCGTACAATGTGGGACACCGGGATAGCCTTCGAAATTGCTGCAGAAATGAAGAGATACAACCTAGAGGTGCTTGGGATCAGTGAAACTCATTGGACACAAGTTGGACAACAACGACTAACTACAGGAGAGCTGCTGTTATACTCCGGCCATGAAGAAGAAAATGCACCACATACACAAGGACTTGCATTAATGCTGTCCAAACGAACACAAAATGCACTTATAGGATGGGAATCTCATGGACCAAGGATCATCAAAGCCTCGTTCAAAACAAAGAAAGAGGAGATTACAATGAACGTCATCCAATGCTATGCGCCTACCAACGACCACAATGAAGACGCTAAAGACCAATTCTACAAAAGGCTCCAGTCAATCATCGAGAAGTGCCCAACAAAGGACCTGATCATTCTGATGGGAGATTTCAACGCCAAGGTTGGAACGGACAACACTGGATATGAAGACATCATGGGACGACACGGATTGGGAGAAAGGAACGAAAATGGCGAGAGATTTGCAAAACTATGTGCCTTCAATAAACTGATCATAGGCGGAACTATATTCCCACATAAACACATACACAAAACCAAATCGACCATATCTGCATCAACAAAAAGTTCAAGAGGACTATAGAGGACGTGAGAACCAAGAGAGGAGCTGATATAGCATCAGATCATCACTTACTGGTCGCCAAGATGAAATTGAAACTCAAGAAGCACTGGACAACGGGGCGGACAGTATCACAAAAGTTCAATACGGCCTTTCTCCAGGATACTAACAAACTCAACAAATTCAAGATAGTCCTCAGCAACAAGTTCCAGGCCTTTCATGATCTACTCAATGGAGAAGGAACTACTGTGGAGAGCAACTGGAAGGGGATCAAAGAGGCAATCACTTCAACATGTCATGAGGTCCTGGGTCACAAGAAGCACCACCACAAGGAATGGATCACTGTTGATACACTGGATAAGATTCAAGAAAGAAGGAACAAGAAGGCAGCGATCAATACCAGCCGAACAAGAGCAGAAAAAGCCAAGGCACAAGCTGAATACACGGAAATAAACAAACAAGTGAAGAGGAGCATCAGAACCGACAAACGTAAATATGTGGAAGATTTAGCAACGACGGCGGAAAAGGCTGCAAGAGAAGGAAACATGAGACAACTGTATGACACGACAAAGAAACTCTCTGGAAATCGCCGCAAACCAGAACGACCAGTGAAAAGCAAGGAAGGCGAGGTAATCACCAACATTGAAGAGCAACAAAACAGGTGGGTAGAACACTTCAAAGAACTCTTGAATCGACCAGCCCCACTGAACCCACCCAACATCGAAGCAGCACCCACGGACCTCCCAATCAATGTTGGCCCACCAACAATTGAAGAGATCAGCATGGCCATCAGACAAATCAAGAGTGGCAAAGCAGCAGGACCGGACAACATTCCAGCAGAGGCACTAAAAGCAGACGTAGCGGCAACTGCAAGGATACTCCACATTCTCTTCAATAAGATTTGGGATGAGGAACAAGTACCAACAGACTGGAAAGAAGGACTTCTGATCAAAATACCGAAGAAAGGCGATCTCAGCAACTGTGATAACTACAGGGGCATCACTCTTCTCTCAATACCGGGAAAAGTCTTCAACAGGGTATTGTTAAACAGGATGAAGGACTGCGTAGACGCCCAACTTCGTGACCAACAGGCAGGATTCCGTAAGGATAGATCGTGTACAGACCAAATCGCAACTCTACGGATCATTGTGGAACAATCAATTGAATGGAATTCATCACTCTACATCAACTTCATTGACTACGAAAAGGCATTTGATAGCGTGGACAGAACAATACTATGGAAGCTTCTTCGATACTACGGCGTGCACCAGAAGATAGTCAATATCATACGGAATTCCTATGATGGATTAGACTTCAAAATCGTGCATGGAGGACAGCTCACAGAGTCGTTCGAAGTAAAGACCAGTGTCAGGCAAGGTTGCTTATTCTCACCTTTCTTCTTTCTCCTGATGATCGACTGGACCATGAAGACCTCAACGTCTGAGGGGAAACACGGGATACAGTGGACATCCTAGACTTCACAGATGATGATTCAATCACAATTGACGGAGAAGATTTGGAAGATGTAAAAACCTTTACATATCTGGGCAGCATCATTGATGAACAGGGTGGATCTGATGCAGATGTGAAGGCGCGGATCGGCAAAGTAAGAAGAGCATATCTACGATTGAAGAACATCTGGAACTCAATGCAACTGTCAACCAACATAAAGTTCAGGATTTTCAATACAAATGTCAAGTCAGTTCTACTGTATGGGGCAGAAACCTGGAGAACCACGAAAGCCATCATCCAGAAGATACAAGTGTTTATTAACAGTTGTCTACGCAAAATACTTCGGATCCGTTGGCCGGACACTATTAGCAACAACCTACTGTGGGAAAGAACAAACCAGATACCAGCGGAGGAAGAAATCAGAAAGAAGCACTGGAAGTGGATAAGACACACATTGAGGAAAGCACCCAACTGCGTCACAAGACAAGCCCTCACATGGAATCCTCAAGGCCAATGGAAAAGAGGATGACCAAAGAACATATTACGCCGGGAAATGGAAATAGACATGAGAAAAATGAACAAGAATTGAATGGGACTAGAAAAGAAGGCCCAGAACAGAGTGGGTTGGAGAATGCTGGTCTGCGGCCTATGCTCCATTAGGAGTAACAGGCGTAAGTAAGTAAGTGCATTAACCATGTTTTTTACATCACAAATCGAAAATTTAATGCTCAAAATAAAGATAAATTTCACATCTAAATAAGAAAGGAAATACTCAATTACCTCCCAGTTAGCAACAAAATTATTTCCTTTAGTGTTTTGCAAATTTTGCACTTCACTAGAGTTTCCTGAACTATTTTCAATTTGACTTTTGAGATCAAGAAGTTCTTGTTGTGCATTCAATAGTTCAGCTGCAAGTGCATCACGTCTAGGTAAATATCAACAAAAACATAGAAAATAAATAGATATTTAAAAAGGAATTATTACTTTGAATTAGAATATCCATATAAGAGAACAGCTACAATTAAATTATTCTGTCCATCAATGAATTTGAGTTTATCTTATTTTTCTGAAAGAAAAACTCATCTGCAAATAAACAACGTTATTTCATAAATAAATTATTTGATTACTGATTCAGGTCAATATACTAGTACAGTTAACATAAATTGTTGGAAAACAACACTAAATCAAATTCGTGTTCATTGTTATTTACTAGAACATTTATATTTGTGAACACTTCAATGTAATAATCATGTTTAATTGCAAACAAACAAAACTCTTATTAGGATTACTTACTCTGAACGAACAAGTTGACATTCCATTTCATAATTAGCAAGTGGAATATCCTGCACATTAGTTGAACTGGACATACGAATAGGCTAAGTAAAGAAAAAAATTGAGTAAAAATACATTAAGTATTGGACCTAATCAAACAGAATACACAAATAACTAGAAGTTATTTGTATTATAATTTTGCCAATCATTTTTATTTATTCTATTAACTCTTATGAGAGTGTGATAGATTATTGTGAACTAAGGAGTCGGATTTTTTATCGTGCATATAAATATTGAATAAGATAGATTTGAATTTGGATCGAAATTGCGAACGAGTGTTTTAGAATATAAAATTATTTTTAATAAAAGTCGGTCTATAAGATGTCTGCTGAAAATCACTAAGGAAGCCCGTTAAAGTAGACAATTCTTAACGATAAAATTCATTAACTCATTCATCAGATATCTGGCTACAAGCCAAACTCGAAGAGTGAGGGTTATTGATGCTACTCAGTTGCCTAAACCGAAGTAGATGGAGAGGAATTCAAACCTGAGACCTACTAATTATAAGGCAAATGTCTTGACTACAGAGTTACTATCCTACAAAAGTACCCTTTGCCCCTGAATGAGCTTGAATCATAAACCGTTTGGTCAACAGCAGAACGTATTCATCCATTGAGTCAATGATGAATCGAGTTATAATTGTTTGAAAGATATTAATAATTATTTATGAACTATTAGTGAAACGGCCTAATCAAAAAGGAATCTAAAATGACACTATTTTCTCATTCCAAAATTGTTAGTCATTTCAACTAGATTAAATAAACGAAAAAGAAACATTATAAATTAGTGAAAGTAAAATCCACACTTGTTTTTGGGTCATAATTGTTGACAAACATTTCAACGCTTATCTTCATAATCCATTTGTAAGTGTATTTTAATGCATATCTTAAAAATATCACAGAGATGAAAATGAAAATTTAAAGAAATAAGCCATTAAGAATCATAATACCATTTTACTGTCAAAACTATGGTAAACACAATAGTAGAATAAGTAGTCAATTTAAAAAAAAAAAACAACCTGATCTGGAAACAATAGAAATAATAAGACTAGATAGATAAGCATCAATGCGAAAAGAATGTCTATGTATCTACCTTAGTGTTATTTGTTAAGTATATTTATTGTGCATATGATAAACAATCACTAGTAGTAATAATGCGGATAAATGTTTTCGGTATTCATGTTCATTGATTACTTGGAAAAGGTTTTCTTAAATGAGCATTATGAAAAATAATAATAAATTTAAATTTATTTGTAATAAATGATCTTTTGATGATTTTGTCGTGTAAACTTGTCGAAATGTCAATTTTTTGTTAATTAAATGTAGCTTTTTCGTACAAATAAGTAATATTGTAGTGAACAAGAACACCAGTGGGAACAATCGGATGTATTTAACACGAAATTACAGGACTTGTTAATAAAATCTAATAATCATAAAGTAAATGCTTAATTTGCAAAATGTCCACCAATTGTCTCAAAATGACTCAGACTTCATTGTTCTTGCATTTTCATACAAATTGCATCCTATTTCCGTTCTTTACTGTTCGATTCTCTTGTCTCTCTGCAGACAAACCTTTTGTTCACGACTAACATCATATACTACTTATGTCAATATAAGTAGCATACACCACAATATTATTAGTTATGTTCAAGTTGTTCTAGAAATGTCTTTATTATCATAGATACACATTTCAAGCAAGAGTTTATTCTATATTTTGATTAAATCCACTTCCGTAGGAAGTTGAAATAATTGATTTTATCAGATTTATGTTGTATGTTGTTTGCGCATAATTTTCACATGAACAATTTTACCTTAATTATTTATTATTTAACTTTATAATTATGAATGTTTCATATACGAAATTATAACTAGTAGCGAAATGTCTCAACAGAAGTTTATTAAGGGTAAAGAAATACACCCTGCTTCGGTTTGAGCACCCGGGCAGTACCCCAGCCCTCACATAAATCGAATGACTTATGTGGCGCATATTTGTTTGGTGCCTTCTTGTACCAATTGTTTATGTGTTTAAATAAATAAATAAATAAATAGTAAATAAAGAAATACACAGTTGGTCTAACTAATATAATTTTTTTATTTCTAATCTATTGCCAAAGAAAAAAGCCTGTTGGAGGATGTCCAGATTTGTAAAAGCTATAGAATACATTGTGCTATAATACATTCGTGAAAAAATTGCGTAACACGTCATCAGTTACAAAGTTTGGTTAGTATCATCATTCTACTGAACAAAAGTAAAGGTAACTCATGAAACAAAGAACGATCACAGTATTTTCAACAATATTATTTACTTAGACATTATGTTTAATCATTTAACCAAGTGTTATTATTATTGTTATTGTCATGACGTGATTTGTCCACCAATCAAAATACGACTTATACAAATCTTTGCACTATGCCAAACCAATGACGTTCGACCGGTATGAGCAGCCTAGCGTCCTTATTGGTCTTATGTCCGCCTAGCCCCTCCATTTGAGTCCAGAACACCAATACCAGCTTCCAATATGCGAATCGAATCATTTATTTCAGACATACTCGGTTTATATATCAAGCAAACAGACCGCAACGTACCATAAAATAGGAAATAACATTTGTACACAATAAGGCCAAAAAGTGTCTGTGAACGTGGGAGGCAGTAAGTCAATAAACTGAACAAAGCTTAAGAACCATAAATCGTACAATAATAAATTATAGGTCAAAATAAAGCTTATAATAAGAGGAATATAAATATACATAATCTACTTATTATATAGTTATACCATAAGAATGTACAGATAATATTAGTCAATTATTATGTCTCAGAAGTTACTCGTGATTTAATCTTCACTCGGATACAACAGTTATTATTATAAAGTATAGAATGGATATGGCCTTAATTTCTGTAACTTATACAATTAACAGTCAGAGTAGGAAAAATTTAATATTACCGAAAATTGGGATATACTGTGTAATCATACTGGAATTACTTACTTCAATTGTTTCTGCTTTTTTTCCATCTGATATTACTGTATCTTTAGATAAGTTTGATGATGTAGGCTGTTCTGGAATATCAATCCTCAAATCTTTCAGCAGTCCACGTAAATCAGTCAATACAGAACGTAATGAGCCCAAACGAAAATCCATTTCAACCATGGCCAATTCATCAGGAGTATGCGTACCAACTTTACTACAAGATTCTTGTTTCGTTCCAGTAAGAGCACATAATTCCACACACATTCGGTTCATCTGCTGATAAATCTGAAATTATTTTTGAAATAATCATTGAATAACAAACTGTAGTTCGATTTTTAAATGGGCGGCTAGGCGCCAAAATATCTTAGAAGGAAGCTATTCATAATACGAACAAAATGGACTGTTTTGCAGTTTTAAAACGTAAAATTTTAGATACGAACGTACTTCTAAAAAGTACATTTTTCCAGAAAGTCAACTGATTGTTGCTTAATAGTATAAATGAAGTTTACTAACATTGCGAACATATTACTCGCAAGAAAAATTAAAAGCTTATCGCATACTGAAATTTGATATTAATTGATCGTTTCGAATGAAAATAAAAGATTTACAATGACTAAGTTCAGAAAATATAGAACCAACCAGAACCCATTATTAAAATTTACTGGTTGAGTTATACCGCCAAGATTACGATATAATTGCAAAATTTTGTGAGAACTGACAATGCTTTTTAAACGAAGTTTTACGTTATTTAGGTATTTACACTGACATTTTAACAGGAAATTACTTATTAAGAAAAGTGTTAGAACAAGATGTTATGACCAGCTTTCATACGTTACCTACTTTGCGTTAAAGTGAATATCTTAAATGTAGAACTGAAATTGGTTTCATTAATTTTTTTATTTCGGTAAATCTATAGGTTTCAGAGCAAGAGACTATAGTTCAGTTTACTTCAAACAGTACAATATCAACAGTTTTTGTATTTTCAGCGTTAAGCACTTATGAAAAATGGAAAATATAAATAAAGCATCAATAATTTTTTTCTGAAAACAATGAAATGCATTTAAAAGAAACCTACTTCCGTTACTTCCGATCTCAGCTCGTTTATAAATGTTTCCTTCGTATTCACATTAGAAGATTCCAATGGAATATTGTGTGAATCAGACGGTACCAAACTATCTGAAATAATATCCTGATCAAAACATGATAAGTAAGCCATGTATGTATCGTCATCCATTTCAAACTCCACATTGTCATCATCCTCCAGAGTAAATGGTGAACAATTATAATTCTGAAAGATTAATGCAATATAATGTATAGTTTTGCAAAGCTATCACATAAAACTCACATATTAACAGTGAAAAGACTAATTTCTTCTAATAACTCACATGCGTAACTTGAAAACTAAAATCAACACTGCTTCCTGAAGATATCTATTGTTCATAAAATTAAAGAAAATTGATAGATCCACTAAGTTACTAACCGAAAAAGTATGAAATCCCAGTCATGTGTATAATTTTAAAACAAAAGTTCTATCAGCAGTTTGGGAAAAATAACATGCGAAATGAAACCACAACCAGTAATAAAGCAAGAAACAGTCTAGGTCGTTCCTCAAAAATCCGCTTTCTTAGAATACTGATTAATGCTAAATGGAAACGTTGACTTACTATCAAGTTCCACTTATATACCAAATTACATGGGGATTGTTTTAATGCCTTGGCGCTTCATCGTAATTGAATCACAAAAGGCTTTTCGTTATTTTAATTTTATATGCTTGAAATCATAATTATGAGATACAAAAGATGCCCTACTAATCGTTTGAACAGCTTTGAAAATGAATTCGCCGAAAAGAAAACTCTTCGCTGAACTAATCTTTTTTGTTTAGTGTCTTAACGGGTGTATTCTATTTATTTAACATAATCTCACCATTCCAGTAAACATTTCTGAGTAAGCCATCAAATACAGTTGTTCAGATAGCTTTTCTTGATAACTGGAAAGTAAATGAAGATAACTCCTTATCCTAATTTCAACAAAGCTACACATCCTGTCATTTCGTCATTCGTTTCCCTACAAAGAGACTACACTCAATATAATTATATGTTAAATGTCAGCATGTGCCTATTAGACGAAGATAATAATAGTATCTCTTTACACTGTAAATCATACTGGATCAAAAACTCTATCAATCAAGTAGACCTATAAAAAGAAAATAATACTTCTATATTTTAGTGATAATTCCTATTTAATAATAAAATCTCCAACATGTGATCATATTTATTTTTTCGATTTGTACCTTGTATTAAATTTTGCATTGATCTCTATTGAGAGAAACTAGTTATTTACTCTCAGACTTTTGTATTTAATTTTACAGACCATTCTATCCTGAATGATCTAAACATCAAAACAATGGATTTAAACGTCTGTAATTTTCGTTTTTCTTTAATGAACGAGAATAACAGTATTGATCGGAAAGTGTAATATTTTTTTACTGTCTGATAGAAATCTTTATTCATATGTATAGACGGATCGATAATATTTACTTCATATTTCAAATGTTGATTTTTTTTATTGTTGAAAAAACACCGGGATAAATAAGCGGAATTAAGTCTAAAATAAAATATCTCAACAGTTGAGGTCATGAGTCAATTGAAGCTTGACCACCATGGAAAACCTAGAAGCACTGGACGGCCGTTTCGTCCTATTGTGAGACTCCGGGTCAGTTGTGAGGTAGTAACCCACTGATGACAGTGGTGGATGTGTCGCTCAATTTCGTGGATTAGTTGGAGTTAGACACTAACACCGTTGGATGCCGGCTCAGTGGTCTAGTTGGTTAGGCGCCTGGCGCGAGACTGATAGATCCTGGGTTCAAATCCCGCGAGGCGGGGTCGTGGATGCTCACTGTTGAGGGGTCCCACAATAGGACGAAACGGCCGTCCAGTGCTTCCAGGTTTTTCATGGTGGTCTAGCTTCAATTGACTCATAATCTCAACTGTTCAAATTACTACAATCTCCACAAAACCCCTTCTGATACTAAGATAAAATAAACAAATTTATTATAATTCTAGATTATTATGTATCTTTTTTCTTTTCATTCGTGTTAACCATCAAGAAACTTGTAACGATTATACATTGTTGGAAACATGTTTAATTTTTACCATATTAATGAAAATCTATAATGGTTTTACAGATAGTTGGACCAGAGAATTTCATGATTCAAAATTATGACTTAAGATTTTGTAAATCATAATAGTTAATATTAAGTTACTTATTAAAAACTAGTATAGTGAAGGAGCTGAAAACAAATCCAGTCAGTCAGTTAGAAACAACGCAGAACTTCGTACATACGTACGTACGTTCGAGTTGCCAACCACATTAGCACAGAGATGCAGTTGTCGATTCAATTCCCGTAGTGGTAGAGATAGTAAAAGTATAGGCAGTAATTGGAAAGACTAGCGTTTGAAGATGTCATCACATTGATGAAAATATGAAGTAAAAAGAGGGCAAAGTGCTTAAGTAGCTTTTATACTATTTCCTTATAATATGTAGCGTTATTAATTACAGACATAATTCATCCCACCTAGTTGAAATCTCATATTAATGGGTTATGGTTTTTCACTGAAACCTAAAGGCCAATAAATATAGTTTCGAATGTCAAAAGATCATTTTCAAAGTTGAATCTCATTTCATTTGTCTTATGGATGAATCATAGTCAGATAAATTATGAAATCTGTTAGATTATCAATCATCCAAGACCAAAAGAAATCAAACATACAGATGCTAAAGAGTAATCCAATCTCCATAATATGCCCCTGGTGAAAACAGCTAACAAAGAAATAGGTCTGCAGAACTGAAAAAATGTCGGTAGAAATAGCTTGAGTCGAATTTTACTGGTGAGTTACCTCAGAACAGAACTTGTCGAAATCTGGTAAAGATGTTTTTAAATTAAAACCTTAATTACAGAGCTTTATCAACTGTTTAAAATAGATTCCGGTGTTAATGAACGTCTCTGCTTTCACATACTCAAGATCATGAGTATATGGTTAGTTAAAACGGATTGGGAAGTTCCCCATTATACCACACATCTATTTCCACATGAATTTCATAATCTTTGAACAATATGGAAGTGGAATAGTAATCAAACCTAAAACTTAATGCAACCAATCCGATTGATATTACACTATAAATTTGGAAGGTTATTTTGATTTCACTTTCATTATCTCATAATCTGTCTTGAATCATGACGGGTAGATATCGGTTATTTAACCTGATTCTTTTTAAAAGCTCATTTATGTTCAGAAGAGAAACACATCAGAAAATCTTACAGTGGCAAATACTAATCCTATCACTATTACCTCTCGTGCCTAATTTCAGCTCAGAAACAGTAGTTTTAAACCTGACTTAGATTCTATCACACTATTCTGCCTCGATCAAAACGATACAACAAATACATTTTCAGAAGACACCAACTTCTTATCAACATTATCAGAAAATAAACCCATTCAATCAACCTGGTGATGGGTCACGTGCACATAAGTCGCCATGGTAATACTATTTACACACATTTTCGCTGGCTAAGTCTGTCTACCAAAACAGAATATGTTGACCACTTTTAGTGGGTCAAACCCCCTAAATTTAATATGACTCTAATTTTTTACCAGTGCAAATCTAGTTCTACTGAAATCTGATGAAACTATCAGCGGTCTTCATCTTTCTCTTTCCGTGCAAATTTAGATGCTCACCCAGATAAAATAGGTTATAAGCTAATGAAACATGTTTTTCAGGTGCTAAACTGTTTATAATGAGTTAAAATTCATTACTGATTACAAAGACATTGATTCAAAAATGATGATATTAGGCGATGCTGCAGTCGGCCAGTCATTTACAGCGTAGGACCAGGCACACATGCATCGCTCCAAGGTGCCACACCTCATTAGTACAAGATGAACACCAAATCCATAGTAGTTACTTAGATGGTATGTATATATTAGATTGCATATAGGGATATGAACAGTCGCCTATGTGCTATTCGGATAAGGATACACGTCGTTGCCTTTTCGTCCTTTCTGCCTACGCTCCCACTGACTGCAGCCCGGATGAAGTGAAAGATGACTTTTACATAAAGCTTTCTGAACGTCTTCATAAAATTAAACGCTCAGAAGTAGTACTCTTATTAAGTGACTTTAATACCCAGGTAAGTAGCCTAAACCAAAGAGAAAGACATCAAGGTGTGTATTTTGATATTCCGTCTCAGCGAACAGATAATGGTAGATGCAGACTACTTGGTTGGGGTCCACGTGACTATCGTAACCAATGGTCGGAGACTCTAGGTGATATGGCTCAGAACCGATCACAATGGCGTCGATGTATACACACTTTGTCTTCCCTTAAGCCATGAAATTAAAATTGATTTGTACATTGCTTTCTACGAGTCAATCCTTTCTCTTTGTATTATATTCTTATACACAATCTCTTTCATACACTAATACCATCGAAGTAACTACTTCTAACTCCACCTGTAAGGTACATATAGGATGGGAATCTCGTGAATCCAGGATCATCAAAACATTCTTCAAAACATAGAGAGAGGTATCAGGATGAATGTTATCCAATGTTATGCGCCCACCAATGATAGCAACGATGATAATAAAGATCAGTTCTACGAGAGGCTGCAATCAATCATAGCGAAGTGCCCAAGAAAGGACCTAACAATCCCGATGAGAGGTCTTAATGCCAAAGTCGGGGATGAACAAAAACGGATATGAAGATATCACGGACAAAATGGACTGGGAGAAAGGAACGAGAATGGCGAGAGATTTTCAAATCTGTGTTCATTCAACAAATTGATTATAGGTGGCTGATATGTCTTGTTGTTTGAATGCTACTTTTTCATATTTGATCGTCGCAAATTGTTGTGTCGGAAACGCTTACCACTTATACTCGAGACGAGGGACCTCTGCAATTTCCACGACGCGAAAGTAAGAAAACAAAGACTAGTACAAGTGAAAATTTATTAACCCCCAAAACTCGACGACCCTGGTCGAAAATACACTCATTTATATATTGATTATACATATACTTTGATAAGTAATTAGGATGAAATCACATATATAAACAATACTCAGTTATAAAAAATCATATGCTGACTATAGTTCATGTCCATTGAATACAAGAATATTGTGTTATACAGAATAAAATATCATACGAGAAAACAAAACCCAATACTACACTGAATAATCATCACATTGAATCAAGACGGAAGTAATGTTGAACAAAACTAACAATGAGTAAATC